CGTTATGCCACCTTCCCGCCACTGTGGGCCAGCTGTATTCCTGCCTGCCAGGAGGCAGCGAGAGGCAGCGAGGCTCAGGTATCACATGTCAGCCACCGCTAACAGGCCAGGCAGCTCCTGTGCTCCCAACAAAGGCATTTCAACACCTGCCATGCCCAGGGCTCACCCTGGTGTTTCTTAAGGCAATGGCAGGTTTCCAAGTGTGCATAGCGATGTTTAAGTATATAAAACACATGCATACTCACACATGTGTGTGTGCGCGCACACACACACACACATCCAGTGAACCTATTTTTCCCTCATCCCGTAAGAAAAAGGATCTGGGTGCCGCCCCATGGACGTTGATTGCTGGAGGCTTAGCGCAGTCAGTAGAAGCCCTTTTCCCAGGAGTTCAGTTCTGAAAGGAGGCTAAGGCACAAGGCTAGGTGTGGGAGTGGAAGAGGCATGGGGTTTTGCACTGGACTGTTTTTGCACGGGTCCCCTGCCCCAAAAGAACTTCGGAGCACTTCTGGGGCTTGGGCTGCCCCAGCAGTGGTGGGCTGCCTTAAGGGCAGTGCCCCTCCTTGGTCCGACTGATGCTGGAGATGCGCGCGAGCGTGACCCCCTTCCTTGCCTTGGCGCCTCTCCCGCCTCTTGCTCTTCCGAACTGATGCCCCTCCCTGCTTTTGCTGTTATTGTGTTGTAAATATTTACAAAGTGAGTGAGAGAGAAAACTACAGTATTAAGATTTCCATTTGCAACCAAGGAGGCGGGGGCCTCGCCACATGGGCTGTTAGCTCCACAGTAAAGCAAGCAGAAAAAAGGGACGTGGTGGCGCTGTGGGCTAAACCGCAGAAGCCTGTGCTGCAGGGTCAAAAGATCCGGCAGTCATAAGATCGAATCCACGCAACGGAATGAGCACCCGTCGCTTGTCCCAGCTCCCGCCAACCTAGCGGTTCGAAAGCATGCAAATGCGAGTAGATAAATAGGGACCACCTCGGTGGGAAGGTAAACAGCGTTCCGTGTCTAAATCACACTGGCCATGTGACCACGGAAAGATTGTCTTCAGACAAACGCTGGCTCTATGGCTTGAAGAGCGGGATGAGCGCCGCCCCCTAGAGTCGGACACGACTGGACAAAAATTGTCAAGGGGAACCTTTACCTTTACCTTTTTAAAGCAAGCAGAAGCCATCAAGACTAACAACTAAGTTTGATGCAGACAATAACATTCAAGACAGAATCCCAGCTAGATAAAGGCACACCCTCGTGCCCACGTTGGAGGGGGAGAAGCGGCATGTTTCCTCCTTGGAGAACGAGGGAGCCCTGGTCTAAGGACAGATGCAGGAGGAAGTGGGGTCAGAGAATCAGAAGTGGGGCAGGATCCTTGGCTCCTGTGCTCCCCCTGTGGCCACTTGGGCTGGACAGAGGCTAAGAGGCGATGCCCCGAGAGGAGGCCAAGAAGCCACCGTTTGCTCTCTGTCTGCAGCCTCTCTCTATGTCTCTCTCTTCCTCCCATTTGGGGCTGCACAGGGGTGAGCGTGGGGAAGGGGTGGGGTGTGGGGGTCAAGTGGCCTCTCTGGTTCAGCATTCTGCCTTCCCACAATGGACAGCCAGACATTATGGGGTGCAAGCAGAGTGACGCGTGCAGGGGCTCCGCTCTGCTCTCCAGCGACCGACAAGCAGAGAGGACTTTCCGCCCTGGCCCTGGAGAGAAGGCGCTGCCCTCCCATGGCTGGCCTGTCCCTCGTGAGTCATCCTGTCCCTTTCGCGCAGCCCAAGGAGTCAGCCATTGCTGCTGTGTCCCGCGGCAGAGGCTTCCTCCGCTTAGCTGGGTGCTGCCCGAGGAAGCCCCTCTGCTCTTTGCAGGATGGTAAGAAGCGACCTCTGGGTGAGTGTGAGACCCTCCCTCCATCCTGCCTCACTTTGTCCATTGCAATTGGTCACCAATCCGGGCACCTTGGCTGCTAATCTGGAAGAGCAAGAGGGAGGCTGGGCAGGGATGAGGAAGCAGCTCTCTGGGATGGGCCCACAGGCATCTCCCACATCGACCAGACCCAGGAGAGGCACTGCCCCAAATCTTCCGGCAGGATTCTTGCCTTGCCTGACTCTGGCAGCCCCGGCAGTCCGGAATCCAGGTGCTCAGTGGGCCTAACCCTGCCCTGCCTGCAGGCAGCACCGCACAGAGTTGGCTTTTTCACTGAGCTCTCCAGATGCCCCCCCCTCAGTCTGCAGGTGGTCGTTGGGAATCTTGCTCACCCCCCCACCCCCACCAGGCATCACTTTGCCCTGGCTTCCCTTCTGCCCTGCTAATCCCCTTTTCTCAGTCTGGCACAACCTCCCTGAAGCTCTTTGCTGGCCATTTTCTGTTGCTTAGTTTTTAAGAAACATCTTGGTTAGCTGGGCACTGAAGTAAACTTCTGTGTCCATTTCAGGGAATCAGGCACAGAACTGTGGAGCCCTCATCACCACCCCTAGTTCAGGTACTCTGCGCCCAGAGGAAGCGTCCAGCCTCTCCCTCACCCAAGCCTGAGGCAGACAGCTGTCGGGGGGGCACCCCAGGAAAAGGGGGAGCAGGGTTTGGGAGGGGGGCTTTTGCTAGCAGCCCTGGAGAAGCAGCAGGCCTCACCTCCCTGTTCTGGTCAGCCCGACCCTCGGCCCAGCCCTGGAAAGGGATCTGCCGCTCTCCCCATCAGGGACAGAACTCCGGCCACCTTCCGGAGCACAATGGCTTCCTTCTACCGGGAGGGGGGGGCTAGAAGGTTAAGCTCAGGGCAAAGGGTGGCCAGGATGCTTACGTTTCCCCAGACTGTTCTAGACTGACTTCCTGCCACCTCCCAGGGTCTGGACAGGATGGTCCTGAAAGATTCAGGGCTAGCCTGAAATGGGGGGCCCTCCCCTGACCCTGACAAAGGGCCGTTCATGACTGAGAGGTAGACTGCCTCTGAGTGAGGCGGTTCCTCGTGGTCATCAGAGGCAAGATCCGGTCATGCATCCTGTCCTGTCATCTCAATGTCAGCATCGGGGTGTTCAAGGAGCCCTGATCCTGCCTGGCAGAGGGGGCAGTCTGAAGGTGGGGATTTTTATTGGGGCGAGGAGAAGAGCCCTCTCTCTTTAGCTGAGCGCGGCTGCGGCAGTGCCTCCTGTGAGCATCTTTACTTCTCTCCTCTCTGGAGCGAGCAGAGGCTGAGCCTCGAGCGAAAGAAACGTACTGTAGTCCCTAAGATTTTGCGGGAGGGGGGGAGCCCGATTTAGGCTGACTGACAGCCCTTCCTTTTGGAACAAAAGCCAAGTAAAGGAAAAAGCCCGTAAGGCAGGCGGGCGGGCGGGAGAGGACAGAAAGCGACTGCTCTCTTCCCCAGGAGTCTTCCCACGTGGGCCTCATCCGGGCCCTGAGCGTTCCGTGGGGAGGGGAGGCAGAACTCGGCGGGCCTGGCTGTGGCTGCTCTCGGTCCATGTGGGGGCCGAAGCTGCAAGACGAACCTTCCTTCCTTCCGCTTGGGATGAACAGAGGCTGCCGAAATGGCGGCGGGGGGACCTGGAGTGTGGAAGCGCCGTCCTTCCTCGCCGCGCCCCCCCCCGCCCCACTTCTCCGGCCGGCCGGCCGGCGGCGGAGCCAAGAGCGGGTGACAGGCGCCATCTGCTGGAGACGGGACGAGACGCGAGGGTGATGGAGGAGAGCCCCGTGGGGCGAGAGGGCAGGAGGGCGCACCGGCGGCCGGCAACGGAAGGGACGTCGGGGGGGAGGGGGAGGCAACGCCAGCCTCGGGCTTCTTCCTCCATAGGCTGGGTGCGGTGGGGGCTTCGTTGGATGCCAGGTTGCGTCTCCAGCGGGGAGAGCAGTTGTCGCGAAGCTCCCTTCCTCCTCCTCCTGATGAAGGCTCTTGGCCACAAGCTCCGAGGGAGGAGACGGGGCCCAGACCGCCCCGGGCAGAGAGGCAGAGCGCTTGCTTCTCTCGGCGAAGGGCCCGCGACCACCCTTCTCCCACCGCCGCCGCCACCGCTCCAGGTCAGGGTGGGTCGCGCCCCAGAGCCGGAGTACGCCCGAGCCTCGGAGCGGCCTGGGGTCGGCCCCAGCTCGATCCCCGCCACCCGCCCCCGGAGCCCTCAGGCGGGCTACCCTCCGGTTGTTCAGTGCCGTCCATCGCCTCGGACCGACGGCGACGCTCCCGGGGTTTTCCAGGTGCGGGAACTGTGCGAGAGGTGGACCCTTCCCCACGCTCGCCCTGGAGTTTCGACGGCTGAGCAGGGCTCTGAACTTCGGGCTCAGACGCGCGACACTCCGGCCACTACCCCACGCGTGGAAGTGGGGCGGAATGCCCAGAGAAATCACTCCGGCACGAAAAAAACAAGCACACACGCAACCCCACTGAAAACGAGCGGAGGACGCGCGGATCACCACGCGCACGGACGTGCTGTTCCGACACAGCAGGCCTTTTTCTCCGCGGGGGGCCCTCCCTCCCATTCCCCCACCCCGCCGCGACCTCGAAGCGCGTTCCACTTTCTTGAGGCCGGGAGGAGAAGGAGGGCGGCGCCGTCGTTAATCTTGGACCAGAGACGCCTCCGAGGCGGTCGGTCCGCCCGGTCAGCGGTCCGCCCTGGAGGCGC